TAAGGCAAAGACTTTGCAGATATGATTAGTTAAGGATCTTGACACGGGATGATTTTCCTGGATTAGCCATGTGAGCCCTAAATGCAATTTTAAGTGTCCTCATAAGAGAGAGGCAAAGGAAAATTACACACAGAAAAGGAAAAGGTAATGTGATCATAGAGGCACAGAGGCAGAAATTGGAGTGATGAGACCACAAGCCAAGGAACGCCAAAAGCCACCAGAAACTGAAAGAGTCAAGGAACAGATTCTATCCCATAGCCTCCAGGAGGAGCATGGCACTGATGACACCTTTTGGGTTCCTGATACTGATTTCCAAATTTTGGCCTACTAAGAAAATAAATTTCTACTGTTTTAAGCCACTAAAAGTTTATGGGAATTTGTTACAGCAGCCGCAGTAAACTAACATATATTTTAATAGCCCCCATCCCCACTGTGGCACACATCATTATTCCTTGTTTTATTTTCCTTCACTGCACTATCTTCTAACGTACTATGCACTTCTTTATTTACTTACTTTTTTATTTTTTTGTTTTTGCTGCCCTCACTAACACGTAATCTCCAAGAGGGCAAGGATTTTTATCTGTTTTGTTCATTGCCAGCTAGGCACAAGCTTCCATGCCTAGAACTAACATGGCCTGCAACAGTCATTCAATAAATGTTTCTTGTGGAAACAACCCGAGTGCCCATCAATACACGAATGGAAAAAAAAAATACATGAATGGATTAATAAAATGTGGTGTATGTATACCATGGAGTACTATTCAGCTGTAAGAAACAATGATGATATAGCACCTCTTTTATTTTCCTGGATAGAGCTGGAACCCATTCTACTAAGTGAAGTATCCCAAGAATGGAAAAATAAGCATCATATGTACTCACCAGCAAATTGGTTTCACTGATCAACATCTAAGTGCACATATAGTAACAACATTTATCGTGCGTCAGGCAGATGGGAGGGGGGAGGAGGGGATGGGTATATTCATACATAATGAGTGCAATGCGCACCATCTGGGGGATGGACACGCTTGAAGCTCAGACTTGGGTGGGGGGACAAGGGCTTTGTAACTTAAACATTTGTACCACCACAATATGCAGAAATAAAAAAATAAATAAATAACAGTTTGTTACACATGGCTTGCTCATTTTAAATTATTCAGAAATTAGAAGCATAATAAATAGAAATTAGCTAATTAAATTATGGTCTATCGATACAATAAAGTTACACGGCCAATAAAAACTGGTATTTGAGGAATATTTAATGACATTGGAAAATGTTCATGTCCTAATGTATTTATCAGAATGCAAAAATGTATACATAGTATGAATCTAATTACATAAAAACATTATTTGAATACATAGAAAAAATACTGGAAGAAAATACATCGTTCAGAGGTCTGGCCTATAGCCTATCAATGACTACTTTCATTCACTTATAATAG